AGAGGAAGAAAAAAGAGCGACCAGTGAGGAGCGTCAGTGAGCTGGGGGAGAGGGGAGAGTGGCAAAGGGGAGGGCCAGGGGCTTTTCTTGAAGTTGCATTTGAGTTGTAAGCACACTGTTGTGTGTGAGTTTTCCCAAATCAATTTCTTTTTATTTTTACTCTTGTTGGGAGCAGGGGGAGGAGGGGTTAGGGAGCCAGGGGTGATTAGATGTGGGGCCAAATCCCCACCAGACACCCTCCACACTCTCACTGATGACTGCACTAATTCTCTGCACATATTAAGTCAAAGTTTCAGTTAATACCATATTATACATATACCTAGATTAGGATGTCTCGCTCTTCGTTGTTTTTTTTTTTTAATTAATTAATTAATTTTTGGGGCTGCGTTGGGTCTTTGTTGCTGCACACGGGCTTTCTTTAGTTATGGTGAGTGGGGCTACTCTTTGTTGCGGTGCGCGGCCTTCTCATTGCAGTGGCTTCTCTTGTTGCGGAGCAAGGGCTCTAGGCACGTGGGCTTCAATAGTTGTGGCTCCTGGGCTCTAGAGCGCAGGCTCAGTAGTTGTGGCGCGTGGGCTTAGTTGCTCCGCAGCACGTGGGATCTTCCTGGACCAGGGCTCGAACCTGTGTCCCCTGCATTGGCAGGCGGATTCTCAACCACTGCGCCACCAGGGAAGTCCTTTTTTTTTTAATATTTATTTATTTGGCTGCTCCAGATCTTAGTTGCAGCATGTGGGATCTTTGTTGCAGCATGCGGGATCTTTAGTTGCGGCATGCAAACTCTTAGTTGCAGTATGTGGGATCTAGTTCCCTGACCAGGGATCGAACCCAGGCCCCCTACATTGGGAGCGCAGAGTCTTAACTGCTAGGCCACCAGGGAAGTCCCTCGCTCTTGTTTTGGATGGAAGGCTCTCAATAAAAAAATCAGGGACACCTCATCTAGGGCTCAATGCTTATTAAAAATAACAAACGACTGAGGGTGTTTTTGTACTTCTGTTCTGGTAACAAATTATCAGATAGCTACAAAAGGTTTCAAACCACTGGTATGAGTTTTCTTTTCCTTTCTGCTGAACAAGATACATCTTCAGAATAATTTTATAATACTGTCAAAACTTGTCTATTTTGTTTGATGGTGTTTGGCAAATTGTTAAACCAAGTCTAAATCATGCAATATGGAGTATAAAGTGATTAAACAGTAATGTCCCAAGCTTAAAACTTAAATATATATAACATAAACATATATGTATAATATGTAAAAAAATATGTGTATACTAACTACTGCTCTTCCTCCACCAAAAAAAACCACACACACAAACAAAAAAACCCTTTCCAGTCAATAGTGTCTATCAGAAATTGTGGGCAGGGTTCTCAGTCCTCAGGGTTTGGGTACCCATCGTCTTCAGGAACAAACCTGTAAAGTTAGTCCCCTACACAAGAACCTTCAAGTTGCGAACTTTCAAAGATGCGAACATGCATTCCATCACCATCAGGCGTGAGTGAAACTGCAGCTTGCCCTCCGTCTCCTATTGCTGGCGATCCTTCAGCTCTACCATCTCCAACCTCCTCTCCCTCCTCCAGTCAGTAACTCTTCTTGCCTGTTCCCTCGATGCCAGCCCCTGTATGCCAGCTGTTGTACTGTACTACTATACTTTTCAAGGTACTGTACTGTAAGATTAAAAATGTTGTCTTTATTTTTTGTGTTTATGTATTATTTGTGTGAAAGTATTATAAACCTATTACAGTACAGTACTACATAGCCGATTGTGTTAGTTGGGTACCTAGGCTAACTTTGCTGGACTTATGAACAAATCAGACTTACGAAGAACGTGCTCTCGGAACAGAACTCGTTCGTATGTAGGGGACTTACTCTACCAGATACCCCTGCATGCTCCTTTCCAGCCTCGGGCACCAGCCCTTCTTGCTTCCACGGCCCAGGAGACTTGCCCTCTCTTCTTGGCAGCAGCTCCAGAGGTTGCAGGGTCTGGTGTTCAGGTACTGCCCCTCCCTGATAAATCCCTCCTGCCTGGGCCGCTGCTGTTGAACCCTGGCCTCCCCCGCCCAAGGCCCCCTTGTGTACCACCCACTGCCAGCTCATCCCCAAGCCACAGGACAGCGTCATGCAGTTCCCTGCTAAAGCAGTAACCCCGTCTTCAATCCCACAGTCCTTCCCAGCTCCTCCCCAAATCACTTAAGAGACTCTGAACTCCATTACACCACCCAGTGTGCACAGAGCTCTATAAGGACACCAGGAATGCCACTACCCAGGGGTGGACAAACGGGATACAAACCTGCCTCCAAGACCCCAGAGCAGCTGCCGTCCTGGCTGCTGTCTGCCACCAATGACATGAGACCACTCCTGGG